GAGGAGGAGGAGGAGGAGGAGAACATCGCTTGGTCAGAGCCAGCTGCCTCCCCAGCGGGTCTAAAGTTTGCATGTTTCCCACCAATCTACAGCACACAGCCAAAACCAGAGACAACACTGCCTGCTAGCGTGTAGCTATAGGTGGTGTGTTAGCCGGTGCCGACTGCGTAGCTGAGTCATGCGTCACATCGGCTCTGATGTAGGCCTGCTAGGAGGAAATGTTTTGATGTTGCCATCAAAACATCATTTTCCAGTTTAAGACAGAATAAAGAGAATAATAATAAAAGAGTTTGAGGAAAAAGTGTGTAAAATTAACTTATGTTCTGCAGATGAAAGAAGCGTTTTATTCATAGCTCACATATTTTGTTGAAATAGTGACAACTGGAAAATAGAATTTAAAAACAAAGATTGGTGAAGGATCTGACAGGAAATAGAGTTACTGTAAGTCATGAAGCAGGAAATGAAGGTGTACGTGCAGGTGTGTATTTTATCCATCTAATGTGTGTATGTGTGTGTGGAGTTTGCAGATGTGCAACGCTGCTCCTAATCTTCCCTAGCGCCATCTGCCAGTGTTTTTTGCCGGATTACACGACTGGGTCAAAGTGAGAGAGAGAGAGAGAGAGAGAGAGAGAGAGAGAGAGCGAAGGAGAGAAAAGGGAAATGAGATAGAGAGGACGGATGGCGGCACGTGCCGGACGTGTCTAGATTCTCATGGAGGGCAGCGTGTACTTAACCTACAGTCTCCGATTATCCTTGATGATGAGTACTAAAACTATGAGTTATTCAACAGAACAATTTTTATAAGGAATTAACTGTTGAGGGTATTTATTAGAAAAAAATATTTTAAAAAAATGTCTGGTTCCAAAATCCCAAATAGGAAAATGTCCTGCTATCCTCTGTCTATTTTCTCATACTTATTGACTACATGACAAATTAATTAATCACAAATATATCTACAGATTCACTGATAATGAAAACGATTGTTAGTTGCAGAACTAGCTGCTCACCAGGTCGGTATGTGGACCCGACAGCTAAACAGGCTTGGTGACATGTGAGCCGAGTCACATTCCATACTACGTGCAAACTAAGTCTAACTGGGTTTTTAACGTCTGGGCTTTCCCACTGAAAAGTGACACAATTAAGTCATTCATTTAATTGCTGAGTGTATGCTGGTACATTTTCCCCTGGATGCTCACAACCGGAGAAGAAATCTATTGACGGTGGTGAGACGATACGTACTGCAGTATTAGTACGTTTGTAGCTGGGAAGTAGTTTTTTTTGGGGGTTTTTTTACCGGTTAGCATGCTGACTCCCACGCTGTCAGCCTGCCAGCTCAATGCGAAAGCACACAGGACAAGACATGGCGATGACATACTGATGGGAGGTATTAGGAGATGAAAGGTGCCTCTCTCTCATTTTCCTCTGCTTGCGCTCTCTTTGGCTCGCACACACTAAGAACACACGGGAGCTGCTGTGGGCCCCGGGCTCTGATGAGATCAGGTTAGGGTGTGACTGCACCGACTGAGGTACAAAGGTCAACACAGTTATGCGTCATTCTTCTGTGCTGTTATACAACGGGGCGGTGCGTGTGTGCGCGTGTGTGCGTGTGTGCGTGTGCGCGTGTGTGCGTGTGCGCGTGTGCATCAGAGAGAAGCTGAAGAAGTGAGGTAATCGTGGGAGGCCGAATCTCACAATGCAACCGTTCACAGAGACATTCCAATGAGCTACATAAGGAGGTCTGTGTGTGTGTGTGTGTGTGTGTGTGTGTGTGTGTGTGTGTGTGTGTGTGTGTGTGTGTGTGTGTGTGTGTGTGTGTGTGTGTGTGTGTGTGTGCGCGCGCATTTCTGCATGAATATGTGCATATGAAGTAGTGCGTGCACGCGCATGAAGCAATGTTTGAGAGTGCAAGTGTGCGAAAAAGAAAAACACAAAACAGACGG